TGTGTTACTCAACACACAGAGAGAAGTGGGTCTGAAGCAGGGCCCGGGGAGAAGAGCAAAGGAGGTAAGTTGAATTTGAGATGCCAGGAAGATATCTGGGTGGACCTCCCAGCAGATAGTTTCACTTACGGGTCTGGAAGCCAGAAGCGAGAGTTCTGGTAAGTCATTTTAGCCCCATTCCCTCCACCACTTCCATGTGTCTCCTTTATTCCTTGGAGGGGCTTGAGAACAAGATACTTTTAAAGATGTTTTCTCAAGGAAACAAATGTTTAACTTTTTTGATTGGGGGAAGAGAGCGAGTTGAAGTACAGACTAGTCTTTAACACAAGAAGCCGCCTTCTGTCGGAGAGGCCAGTCAAATCAGGTTTTAGAAAGCTCGAAAGGGTAAAATCACTTGACTGGTCTGCAGACCATATGACGAACAGCTGAGGCTAATTAGCTGGGTTGTGGGTTTTACAGAGATGCCTGATTTTGAAAGTTGATCGAGCAGACTGCTTTTCAAAAGACTCTTTTGAAAAAGTTTTGTAAGTAGGCGATTCTGACTTTAACATTTCTCTTTGTATTAGACAAAAAGTCAGCTTTTTGAAGAGGACATGTGATTGGAAGTTGTCTAATTGTTGAAGTGTTGGGAACTCCAGTCTCTAAAGTCTTAGAAAAACAACTGAGGATTTATACTTTGTCAAGGTATGTTTTACATTTATCTTTTTTTTTAAGTCTTTGAGTTCTGCAATGTCATTTTCAGGCACTTAAAGTGTGTGCAATTTAACATAGACTACCACTGCGCATATTAGTATTTTTTTTTAAAATCAAAGACTTTAAGATGTCTGCTAAATTTCTTGAGTTTAGTTTGAGAAAAGTGCATTTTCAATGACCAGAGAGGGGGTATGAATACTGACTGCATTTCTCCTTTCTTTTCTGTACTTTAATAAAGTAACAGGGTTTTATTCTCAGATAGTATGTTGATTAGGAGAGCTGACTAAGGAATTGAGTTGTTCTCAGAGTCTTGTTCATCCTCTGAGGATTTTATTCACAAAAATTCAAACTTATTGGGATTTTGTTTTTACTATTGTCAATAGCTTTTATGTTAAGTATGTGTTTTGGTGTAAGTTGTATTTTATAAGGTGTATCTTTCCTATGAATTAAATTTGCCTTAATCTTGTTAGGTTTGGTAATAGCATTGTGGTTATGTAAGGAAAAGTCCATAGATTTGGGTGGGGGGGGGTAATTAGTATGCAGTAATGAAAGATCTGGGTGATGACTTTGAAGCAGATTTTATTACTTTTGGATTTGTACCACTTGTTTGCTAGGGCTGCCCAAACAAAGTACTACCAACTGGGTGGCTTCAACAACAGACATTTATCGTCTCAAGTTCTGGAAGCCAGGAGTCTGAGAGCAAGGTGTCGGCTGGGCTGGCACCTTCTCCCTGAGTCCCTTCCTGTCATCTCCCTGAGTCCCTTCCTGTCATCTTCCGATTATGCATGTCTGTGTCCAGATTTCTTCTAAGAACACTAGTCAGATTGGGTTAGGGTCCACCCACTTGATGATCTCCCTGAAGGCCCTATGTTCAAGTAAGGTCACATTCTGAAGTACTAGGAGTTAGGACTTCAACATACGAATTTTGGGGCAACACAGTTCAACTCACAGTTGAACAGGTTTCATAATATCATATTTTAAAGATGTGCCTGCAAGTGTAGTCAATCGTCATTTTTTGGCCAAAGTGCCTAGACTGTGCTGGATGTTGAGTGTGTGAAGATGAATGAGACATGGCCTCTGCCCACTAACGCTGGTTTAATCAAATATATGGGTGTAATTTCCTGTGCCCTGTGTATGTGTTTACTTATCTTTTCTGTTGAGTTGTGGTCACTTTCACAGCCAGGTGTCCCTGGGCACAATCAGAGTCCTGGCACGTGAGCAGCCTAATACTCTTTGAGAGGCACCTGGAAGGGCTCTCTCACTCCTGAGCACCCTCCACATAGGCTGGGAGAGTGGGAGGATCCTTACATTCATCGAATAAAACCTCCCCATTTCACAGATGAAGAAATGAGATTTGGAAGTGCTAATGTCATTTGGCTGATTAGTGTCAGAGCAAAGGCAGTGTCCTGTCTTCCACTGTGGCGTGCTGACCAATACCTCACTTAGTTTTCTTTGCCTCACGTTCATGCTTTTCATCTATTCAGAAATCACTGTGGAAAATAGCCTTGATAAAAAGCTGACATTCTCTGTCAAGATTCTTGGATTATAGGTACCCCCCACCCCCCCAAAAAAAGCTTTAGGGAGGAATGTTTATTCACGAGGGAGGTTCATCCATAGAATGTCCAGATTGGACTTAAAACATTCCAAAGGGGTTTAATCTTATCTTGGTTGTTTTCTCTGTCTCTTACATTTTCTCCTTGTTCTTCCAAGACATAGTATTCAGTGACCGAGCAGCCATTAAAATACAAACATTTTTTTCTTCTTTCCTGCTGCTGCCCACAAGACAGAAACTGTGGCAGAAGAGAATGTTGATGAAACTTGCCAGCTAGCCGATGGCACCATGGCAACCAGGACCTGTGCATGTGAGCAGGTCTCAGAGCCTCTGCTGCTGTTTCAGCCTCTGCCCTCCTCAGACCCTCAGTACCTGAGTGCTCAAAGAGGAAATGCTCACCACTTCCCTCGGTTTCTGTTTTCCCCTTTTAGGATTAAAGCTTCCTCAGATATCTGCCCATCTTTTGCTATTATTCTTTCTTTCTTCTTCCCTTTGCACTTGGTTGATTTAGAGCTAGAGTTCAGGCTATAGCATATGTGATAGCTTATAAGTCATGTAATATGCCCATTCAAAACAAAAGCTGATTTTTTGCAGAAGCCATCATTCTCCTGTGCTGTCTTTGCAATAGGACAGCTTCCTGTTTCTTCTACGTTTCTGGTGTGGCTGGGTCCTGGCGAGGTCCCTGCCCTCTGGCGGAGCAGAGGCTGGATTGGTGGGGATTGGAGGGTGGGAGGTAATGAATGAGATGAGGGTGCTGCTTGAGAGGAGTTTGCATTGTTGCAGCCTCTGGAGACAGGAGCCACTTTGCACAAACACAGATGCAAATCACCCAGGAGCTGAGGGCATTGATTTTTTGTTTGTTTTCCCCATTCCATGCTTTATT